CAGTAATAGAAATTTGAGAAAACTAATCAAAAAATTGCAGAATACATTAAAAAAATTATGCTATCTTAATTTTTACAATATATCTAAAGATCAATTACATAAATATAAGTTATATAAATAGTTTTATTTGAATATAATAAATATATTCAAAAACTTTGTCAGATGATCTTTGATATTTTTAATAAATTTTCAATATATATTTCATAAAAAATATCAAGAAAAAGAATAAAAATCATTTTCTTCTTTTAAAAATAAATTAAATAAATTATTAATGAAATATATAGAAAAATTTAAGATAATTAAAAAAACAACTCTCTCATTACTATTATCATCATTATAATTAGTAATAGTATGATATAAACGATCTAAAGTCACCACTTTTTTATTTTATGATCAAATTCTTTGTCTTATAATACAGTTACATAAAATAAATTTTATTAGATAACAATCACATGATTTACAATATATCATCGTTAACTAATATTTTTTTATTCTTAATTTTTGTTTAAAATAATTATACATTTATTACATTATTAGGAATTCTTCAATATAATTATATTTCTTTATAATATATAATACTTTTATACCTATTAATCCTTTTCTATATGCATTTATAAATCTTCAAGATCTGCGTATATAATTTCTAATTGTTTCTAAAGAAATTGAATTTAATACTTCAGAAATTGTTTTTTCTAATTTCTTAAAAGAATAATCACAATTATTACGAGTATATCATTTAGCTGTACTCTAAAATATCTTAATAAAATTGAGCTTACAATGAAATTTTAGATAAAAGATAACTTTATGTATACAATTTCAATAATTTTTCTAATTAATAGTTTTTAGGCTAAAAAATCTGGTTGAAATGCAAGTGTTTGAATTGCATAGCAATTATTTACAATTAGTAATTATTATTTGCATTAGAATAAATACAATTTATACCTCTTTTAGCTATAATTCACATTCTTCTAAAACTAAACAAATTCCTTTAGATCTTTTATCTAAAAGATATATTAATTGTATTGATTTATCAAGCATTATTCTATTTTTAAACTTTTCTTTACCACCTGGATTAAGATTCATTTTTGATGCAATTAAAGCATCCTTTGTATATACAGTATGAGATATTACATTATTAAATGCAAATATACCAATATTACTAGAATGCAATTTTACAAAAATTAGAATTGCTTTTTCAATAATCTAATTATAATGTAATTTAAATTTAAATTATTATTATTTTTAAAATAATAAATAAAAAAATTTACCTGTTTAACTAAATTTTTAGTTTTTTATTATCTATCACAATTAGTATCTGGTTTTATTATAATACATGTTTCATCTTGTTCAAATTTTAATTGACCATTAATTTCTGTTAAAAAATTACTAACATGTAAGCTTAAACCTATACCTTTTTTATGAAGAGGCTGATATCCAACAGGTTTCCAAAAAGTTTTTTACTATCATTAGCATAAAATACTGATTTATCATGAGTTATTAAAATATGTCTTTTATCACTTTCATTTAAAATAGGTTCTACTAATATCATAATATTATCATCTGATGGTTTTGACATCTATTGCTTCAATTGTATCATTTCAGCTAAATAATTCTTATCAATATTTAAGCACATTAGTTCTCTTATGACTATCATAATAAATATCTTTATTTCCTATATGAAATGTGCATCCAAAATATTTTAATTATACCTGCATAATAGTATTTGAAATTGATTTTTTATTTTCAATTCCAATACTTGGAAAAACTTCTTGCTCAATATATACTTTAAATTTATCTACAATTATATCATAACTAACACTCCATAGATATTCAGTAATCATTTGATAAATATTTTTATCATCTAATAAACTTTTAATTTTTTAATATTTATCACACATTGATGTTAAAATTAAATGATACAAAATAAAATTTTGTGTTTATGTTCTAATTAAACGCACTTTATATTCTCCTTTTTCAATACTAGTTGCAATTATTTTATTTGCTTTCATACATTTATAACTAGCTAATCTTAAGTTAATATATTGAAAAATAAGCTGTAATTGATTTTTAACTTGAGCAATCAATTATTTGTCTTTAATTAATATATTTAATTTATCTAATGCTAAATTAAACCCTTCTCTTTCTATCACTTCTTCAAGATTGATTAAATTATCAACTATAGTATTAATTTGATCATTTGATGAATTATTAAAGTATTTGGTAATACTATAGAAACCTTTACTTACTAATTTTAAAGCTGCTTTTTTTCGCCTTTGAGTTTTATTAGAGTTTTCAGAATAAGTTAATAGATGCACACTATTAAAAATAGTAGAATCCTTTGCATTTTGACATATAATATCAAATGCAGATAAAGTAATTTTATCTACAATTTCTTTTAAATTATCATTATCCTAAATACCATCTTCCTTCAAACTTTCAGATAATTCATCATTTGATAATAATCTATCATTTTTAGCAGCCTGTAATTTTAATCTTTTACTTTCTTATGCAGTCATTAGTTGCTTATTACGAAACTTAAAAGGAGATATTTTACATAATTTTTTTAACTAATACCTTAGAAAAAATTCTTTTTTAAAAAAATTAAAAAATTTTAAAATTTAAGAAAAGTTTATTTTTTTTTTTTAAAAAAAAAAAAGATTTGGGTTTTTTTAAAAAGAAAAAAAAATTCAGGAATTTTTTTTAAAAAAAAGAAAAATTCAAAATTTATTTTTTAAAAACTTCCATTTTCATTATATTTAAAGATTTATTTATGTCTTCATTTTTTTTAAAAAAAAAAAAAAAAGAAAAATTTAAAGGTTTTTAAATTGGTATAATATTTTTCTTTATTGCTGGTTCTTAAAAAAATCAAAGAAAAAAAAGAAACATTTAGATACCACTTATCTAATATACTGATTGTTCTATTTTAAGACTTTATATCAATTGTTCCATTATATGATTGTTTCATTTTAAGACTATTCCTATTTTTAACTTAAATTTTTATGATCTAAATTAGGTAATTTTAGTAATTCTAGCTAACTTTATAATAGTCAAATTTGTATCATTTTTAATAAAATACCCTGATTTTAATTTTATACATCTAATGTTACAATTTATTTAATAAGAAATAGGCTCTATCATGTGAAAAGCAATAATTTAATCTATTATTTAATAGAGAATTTATTTAAATAGTTGATTAATTGATTACTACTATTTTTTTTGAAAATATGTAACTAAAAGTGGTGGCTTTAGATTATTTGCATTATAGTAGTAGTAATAGTAACAATAGCAAAGTAAAGAAATAAGATGACTATTATTATTACCATCATTAGCAGTAGCAATAATAACAAAATAAAAATAATTAAAAACTTCAAATAGAAAAAATTCATTATTTAAAATGAAAATTATTTAAAAAATATCAGAAATTTAAAAGTTAGATTTAAAGAAATATCCTTTAGTTAAAATTAAGATTAAATCAAAAATAAAAATTTTAAGTGGATTTTTTTTTTTTTTGCATTATAATATACAAAATTTTAAAATAATTAAAGGTAATATTTTATTAAATTATTTGATTTTTAATTTATTATACTTAATTTAAAATTAATTTTAATATATTAAATTTATTTTATAATAAATTATTATTGTATAAGTGAAAATAGTAAAACTTTATTTTAATTATTTGAAATATCTAAAAAAAAGATAGATTTAATTATGAATAAAGATAATGCAGTTCAATCATATTAGACTTATATATAATAATCTATATTATGCTTCTTTAAAATTTAAGGAATTTAATTATTTATCTTCAAATGTCTTATCAATCATTTTGTATTTTTTTTACGTAAGTATTTAAAGAACTTTAAATTTTCTTATTAATAATAAGTAATACTGATACCAGTATTATCATCATAAACAGTATCAATATTATTAACAATAGCATCAATAATACTATCAATAGTACTAATAGTACTACTATTATTATTATTTAAAATTTTAGTAGTATTACCTTTAGTCATAAGAATCCAATTGTTTATATAACTTTTTGAGATTTTTCATAATAATAATAAAATAGTTTATCAATTTTAAAATTATATTTATAAAAATAAAAGGATAAATATGAAGAAAATTACTTACATTATTTATGATATATAATTAACTTTTTTATTATTTATTTATTATTATTTTAATATTATTAATTTTAATATATTTAATTTAATAATTAATAGTTATGTTAATAAAATTCTATATAATATCAATAAATTAGTAAACTATATTTAAAATATAATAGTATTTTATCTGTCAATATTTAATAATTTTTAAGTAATTTTTATTTTTTAGATTAGATAAATTATTTAATTTAAAAAAAATTATTATTTTAATAAACTTTATTTTTATTTTTATTTATTTTATTTTATTATATATAGGTAAAAAAATTGTTTAAAGTATTTGAAATATATGTAATAAATTTTAATATTATTTGTAACTATTATATTAATTGTGATAATAATAAATATAGATTTTATTAACTTGTATCATTAGTAAATTAAAAAAGAGGTGATATAATATTTTTATAACTTAATATAAGAGTAAAATTGAAATCTGATAATATTTTAGCATTTAAATTAAATTTATTATATACTCTTTTACTAAAAATCTTTAACTATTTACCTAAAAACTTTTTGAAAATTATTAAAAGAAATTTATATTGTTAAAATCTTTAGATTATGAATTTTCTGAATCTGATATTAATATATTATAGTTTTTTTTACTTTTAATTATAGCTTTAACTTTACTTATTATACTATTTACTAATTTTCTAAATAAAAAATTTTAATTTTATATTATTTTTCTATTAAAACTGCAATAAATTTTTCTTTATTTTTTGGTTTAAGTTTATATTTATGATTCTTCTTTTTAAATGATTTTATAAATACTCAATTAGATTAAATCTAAACTTTAAATAAATTATAGAATAGAAGATTTTTCTCTTTTTTATTCAAATACTAATTTGCTCTATATACAAAAATATTATCATTTTGAAAAGTATAGAAAATATTTTCTTCTTCTAAATCTTCTATAAAAAGTAATAAATGTGTTTTTAACAAATTTTTATACATTATTCCTATGATTTTTTCATTTAATACTACTAAATAGCTAAGCCTATAACAGTTTACATTATACTTTTCATAAAGTTTTTTCTAAATCTATTATTATATCTATTATTTTTAAATAAAAAAAAACTGGAATTTATCAATTTAAATTATATTATTCCATTTTTTATTTTAAAATTTATGCTCTTGACATCAATTTAAGCATTTTTTCTATTGTTTGCTGAAACAAATAGTTTTTTTTTTTAATTTAACTAAAATAGTTATATTTGTGTAATATACAGCTAAAAGTACTAGTACTAATTTAGATAAATTTAAATTGATTAAAACTTTCAGTAATTTCTTTAAAAGAAACTTTTTGTTTTTTCTAGTTTGATATATAAGAGTTTATTTTTATATTCATTCAAAAAAGGTGGTCTTCTTGAATGAGAAAGAACATCTGTAAAGACTTTCTTCATAAAATTTTTAATGATACATTAATAAATACTTTTAAGTATAAAGAGTGAACAAAAGTTTCTGAACACCTTTATAAATACGATTTAAAAAATTTTTATCATATAATTGTAATATTATATTGCAATTATATGACTGTTTATTGTTTATTTACATAATCAAAATAAAAAAATTTGTGTTTTTTTATTGTTTTGATTTAATTCACTTAATCTCTACCAAATCAAAAAATAATAGGACAAAATAAAAAATTAACTAAAAAATAATGCAGAGCCATATTTTACTTAGTCAGCCCAAAGTCCTGATCTTAACCCAATTGAAAATTTATGGACTGATATTAAAAAAAACATTTGTGCATATTTAAAAACTACCATCGAATTTTGCTAACCTCAACTGATATGTTAAAAAAGCATGGCGAAAAATTTTGATGCATACTATTAAAAATTTAGTCAATAATATACCATAACGAATTCAGGTTGTAATTGTGATAAAGGGAGACCCAACTAAGTACTAAAAGTTTAATATGAAATGTATACCTTAACCAGCTTTAAATAAAATAATATTAGAGCTTTTACTATTAATGCTAAGGAATTATAAGTTTTATATTTGGTGAAAAAGTGTTTGAAAACTTTTATCTACTCTCTGTATATTTAAATTCTAGAAATATCAGTAGCTTTATGATTATTCTTATGAAATCCAACAATTATTTCATGTTTAAAACAATTAGTTTCTTGCAATTTGCTATTTTTTAAAAAATTTAAATAATAAAATCATGATTTTTTTATTTTTTCTTATAATATGAATTTTAGTTAAGCCTGAAAAAAATTCCCAAATTTAATCAGATTTACAATGATAATTCTGATTTAAAAAGTAACACAGCAAAATTTAATTTGTCAATCTTAACTATTCAGATTTTAATACTGGATTTTTCATCATTTATTAGTTTTAAAAAGATGAAATATAACTCGTTAGATTTGTCATAATAAAACACATCTAAAGTAATATTTTATATCTTTATCACTAATGGATAAAAAGTTATTTACATTTTTTATTTAAAGATTTTTGTAAATAACTTATTATCTATTGATTCTAGAAATATTAAACAAGTACCAAAAGATGCAACTGATTATGGCAAATCTAATAAGCTATAATTAATCCATTTACAATTACTGGATGGTAAGATAATACAATTTAAGTTTTTTAAAAAAAAGGTCTAGTTTAAGACTTTTAGTGAAAAAGTGTATATGGTAATCTTTCATGTTTTGATATTAAACATTCATTAGTATTTTTACACATAATAATTTATTCAGAGACTTTTATAAATGTAAAAAATACAAATTCTTTTGAGAATAATAAACAAAAGAAAAAGAAAAGAAAATCAAATGCAACTTAATAATTGAATTTTATTTTTTTAGATTATAATTTATTTTTAATAAAATTATTTGAATGCAGGAAGATTCACACACATTTACTGATATTATTACACAATATAATATTGTTGATCTTAAATTAAATAAAAAAATTCATTATATAAAACTATATAACACTTATCAAAAAATAAATACTCTCTTTGTATTCGGTTTATGGAGCGTTACTAGTAAAATCAAATTACGGTTCATATGATTTACTATATTTAATGACTGAGATTTTCTGACAATGCATAATATCCCAGATTTTTCTCAGACCAAAAATTTTCTAGGATAATTTAATAGTATTTTTATAGAATTTCATGATATACTTTTGGCTTTTAAAAAATTTCAAATTAATTTATTAACTTTTAACACTTAACATAAATTCAATTTGTGGTTGATTTTATTGACACTCCAATAAGTTTGATTTATCCTTATGGGATGTTGATACATGGTTTTTTCTAAAAAGATTGTATAAGCTACCTCTAGTTTTAAGACGCATTGTATATGGTTGAGAATTTTTTACTTGAGACAAATCGAAAAGATGTCTCATAGTTGGTCGGCCATGAGGGCAATTCTATGGAGCGTGTAAAAGAAATAAATATTTCAATACATTATAAATCAAAAAAAAAAAAAATTCTTACCCATGGTTGATCAATATCTCCCATACGTTTTACAATCTATTAAAAAAAAAAAAAATTGTTACAATATTAGCACTCTTTGTATAATTCCACTAAAAAAAAAATAATAATAATAAATAAATAAAAGACCTTTTGCATTTGTTGACGGTTTAATGCATCTCCAATCATTACAGATTTGCGGCAGGCTCTAGATGCAAACATATTTCTGACGTGTGAACAACGCACCATTTCGCCAGGTCGTTCAGACAATAGAAATATTAATTCTTCTATATCTTTTTTATAGTTCAATTCCAATAAGAATTAATAATATTCTTGAAGTTAAATTAAATAAATAAATATCATACTACCTTTAACTCCAAATACTGTATCTTTGCTCATTGGCTGTGACAATAATTTCAATTTCTTAGTAGGAGATGCATCATAATCTATGTCAAAATCAAATCCGTTCGCTTGTAAGATTTCCAAGTTTTCTATTGCAACCAATTCCTCAGCCACAGTAAGTTCTAATCTCCTTGGACTAAAAGGCAACGTAATGAGATATTAAACCATTTTAATTTTACTTATAACTATATAGTCGGGGGAAAAAAACCTTATAAGCCTCTGAGATTGGATTTTGGTGTGAAGTTGTAAAGTTTCGAAATTATATTTCTCATCAGACGCATGCTGGTCAATAATAAATAAATCATTGCCCAATTTAGCGATAATAAATCCAAGGTTGAATTGTCCTACAATTTCCATCAGGCCAAAATCGTTTTTCGATATAACCCTATTTAATTCTCTTACAGCAACTTCATTATCTTGAGTATCGATTCCCGAATTGCTTAATCGCATATCACAATCGTTACCCTTTTGAAATTCTTGCCGATTCATATCAATATATTCATATCTTCGAATATCAAATGGTATCTCGATATTTTTTATCTCGTAATCATTATCTATTACAATAGCCTCAGAGTTATGTGACACGGGACTCGAATCAAAATTATTATTTTCAGCCATGATAATATCTTCATCAAGACCATCTTTTTCAGTCATTAAAACCGTACTAGTCGAATAGTCGACAACCATATTCATTTTCTCATCTTGTTCGATATCAACTTTATTTTCGTTGAGAGAAACTTTAATACATTGTTCTTCTTCACATGATATAGGTGTAGAAACTTTCACAGATTCTTTCTGATCGTTAATTAAATAGGCATCAATTGGTTTAATGATGTCTTTCATGACGTTACTTTTTTCCTTCGCATTTGAAGATAAATATTGAGTTAATTGTTTTCTCGGAGAACCAGCGATTTCTGATTTTTCCATTGTAATCTTTGGCTTTTTCATCACGTGTACTTCGTTTTCTTCTGATTGAAAGTCAAAAAAAGCGTAGCTCTCGTACTCGATATCGGCTTTTATTTTCATCACCTCTTCAATATTAGACGATTTGCAAGTTGATTTTATCGAGTTTTTTGTCGACTCAAATTCGTTTTTAGTGTTCTCATTACTCTGGATGTTATTAATAATACTAACCATATCATCATTGCCTTGCATAAGAGAAGTTCCACTTTTATTTTGAGCAAGTTTGTTTTGTGAAGAATTTTCCTCTTTTGAGTTCTCAAAACATAAAACATTTTCTTTTATCGACAGTTGAATAAATTCAGTACCGGAGTTCACGAAAGTAGATCGAAATGGTTCTAGAACACCATTCAATTCTTCCTAAAAAGAAAATATTTGCGTTATAAAAAAAATTTTATTTAGAGTTAAATTATCTATGCTTACCTTTAATGTTTCCACTATTTTGTTTTCGTTGTGTATGAATATAGTCCTTTTATCCGGGCTTACGTTAACGTCGTATAAAACTTGAATATATTAATTATGTCAGCTATTTTCTGTAATGAAGGTTTCTAAAATCATAATATGTTCTTGTAAATACTTTACTAACATTTCGCAAGTCGAAAATCCATAACAATAAATGGATATTGAAAGGTATTAAAACTTTTATATAATTCGTTAATGGCTTTCGCTATCTATTAAGAGATTAACTTTTAAATATGAAAAAAAAAAAATGATTAAAATAAAAAGTTTATTAAAGTAACTTTACTTTTGGTAAATTGCATGGGCGACCATTGATAAAAAAATATTGTCGATCATTGCTTCCACGACCGTATCCTTTCATAGGTTTAGAAATATGACCAATAATACGGATAGTATATCCTTCGCTTCATTATGAATATAATTTTTAAATCGTTAATTTAATCATCTTTTCATAACTACACATCATATTTGTTATTAATTCACCTTTCATTATCATCATCATCATGCTTTTGCAATTTTCTCCTATCATGTTTGACATTCAGATTTATGTCCAATGGTATTATCTGGGGTAATGTCTTGGCTCCGAATATATTCGCAATATTATCACGTACATTGCCGTTCCCACTAGTGGCTAATACTTTAGTTTTTGCGCTAATAATATAACAACAAAGCAAATGTTATTTTATAGACAACATTTATGGATTTTTTATTTTATTTTTTTTTTTTTTTTTTGATATTTACCTGTTATTTAATTGATTTGTACAAATAATCCTAACATTCTCGCATATGACCCCATAAGCTTGCAAGAGCACTAACGCTTTGCCAAATTCTCGCTTAATATTCTTTTTAAATTCTCGATGCCGAACTGGGACTGATTCAAAAAGTCCTCGTAGTATAATGGATGTACCTCTCTTTTTAACGAATATAATATTGAGCACAAATAACACACCAAATAACACAGGAAAAAGTAAAGTTGACACATTTTTAAATACCTCTCGAGCTGTTGGCGATCTTTTTATGAGCCTTCCATGTGAATCATATTCCAATTTGACACCGGTCGGAATTTCTTCTTGAGTACACGTTGAAACTGTAATTTTAGATAGGGCGCATAATGAACTAAGTGCTTCGCCTCGAAAACCAAATGAACTAATGTCCATTAAATCTTCGAAGCTAGATAATTTAGATGTATGGTGCTTGAGGGCTATAAAAAATAGTTAATTGTTAGTTTATTGTAAGGATTAATAACAACATTTTTTTTAAAAAAAAGAAAAATCAAATACCTAAACTCTCATAGTCGGTAGGATGAATTCCCGTACCATCATCTATTACCTCAACGGATTGGATGCCATATTCTTTAAAACGAATTTCTACTTATACATGAATAAAACGCGTTATTATTTAAAAAAAAAATTAATTATTTACGCGTTTTTTTTTTTTTATTTCCATTATTAATACCAATTGACTTTGCCTCTGCATCAAGACTGTTTTCTACAAGCTCTTTTACGGCTGTCGCTAAATCTAATATTACTTGACCTGAGCAAATTCTATGTATCGAAGAAACATCAATTGCTTTGACTGTCGACATATTTAAAGCGCGGAATGATCAACACGAAAATCGCACATATATAATCTGTGTGGAGCTGCGGCGTAACATGACCAAATTGTGCTAATTGTGCTAACAGTACGGGTTTTTGGCGCGAGGCATGTGACCTTCTACTAACCAAACTATCATAAATGACTCATTTTATAAATCTGTAGAAAATAAATCAACATACTTGTTACCGTTACTTCGCTGATAATATACCTTTTAGTCATCTGTCTCTTTGTCTCTAATAACAAATACTTCCAATAATAATTAGTTACAATTAAAATGTCTTCTACGCGTAGGAGGATTGAAACCGATGTTATGAAGCTGTAAGTAATAAGTTGTTTACAATTCAGACAAGGAACTGTTATTTACTCTCTACCTTTATACATTTTCAAGTCTCATGAGCGACTATGAAGTTACTCTTGTCAACGATAATATGCAGGAGTTTTATGTTCGATTTCATGGACCGGAAGACAGTATGTTTCATTCTACTCGTTGACGTTTTTATTCATATATTTTTAATATTACTTATACTTACATTACCTTAGCACCTTTTGCCGGTGGTGTATGGAAAGTTCATGTCGAACTCCCTGACCAATATCCATATAAATCTCCATCGATTGGATTCATGAATAAAATTTTTCATCCCAACATCGATGAGCTGTAAGTTAATTAATTTTCGTAAATATTAAAATTCAAAGCATTTAATGATCATTTTCATACGTTTATAGAAGCGGATCAGTCTGTCTTGATGTAATTAATCAAACGTGGAGTCCGATGTTTGGTACGTCACTATTTATTTATTATTTAAAATTTTAGGTAATAAATTGGCTTTTGTTCTTTTATTTATTTACAAAATCAACTCAAATTTTATATAGACATGATCAATATTTTCGAGGTATTCCTTCCTCAGCTCTTGAGATACCCTAATCCCACCGATCCACTCAATGGGGAAGCTGCAGCTCTGCTAATGCGGGAAGCACAGACATATGAAAACAAAGTTATAGGTAGATACAGATTTCAGTTATGCATTGAAAACACATGGGAGACATTTTAATTTTTTTTCTTTCGCATAACTTTTTTACATTAGAATATGTCAAAAGGTTTGCCACAAAGGAAGCGGCGGATGCAGCGACAGACGAAAGTTCTTCAGAAGATGATGTAAGTTCTGTAGGTTCATATTCAGAAGATGAAGAGGGTACAGAGCCGCTGTAACATGGATGCATTTCATGTTGAATTTCATCTAGTATTACTATTACATGGTTAATAGTTTGTTTTATGATCATTTCGTTCGTTTTATCACCAAAGATTTTTTACTACTAATTAGTTTGCTCCATATATCAGTATAATAGAATTTTCTTTTTTTTGTTTTCTACTTTTTTTTTTTATTATTTTTTTTGTTTTTTTTTTTTTTTTTTTTTTTTTTTTTTTTTTTTTTTTTTTTTTTATTTTTTTTTTTTTAATTTTTTTTTTTTTTTTTTT